GTGCGTTGGGGGGGGGTTGGTTTTTCATGGCCAGGAACCTCTGTCTTTTGACCAAAATGACATTGATTTCCTAGCCTTCTGCCTTACCAATTCATCTCATCTTAAATGGTCCTCTCTCTCTATCTCTTTTCTCTAGCTTACACATCCTGCTGTCTGTGAAAGAAGGACCTGCTGGGTTGTTTATGAATCTATACCCTGTATTTCTTTTTTAAAGATCTTAAATTTTTCTCTTAAACTAAGTGTAGATAGTTGACTGAAATACACAGAAGGGTTGAGTAAGATGTCTTTAGAGGGCCGGGCGCGGTGGCTCAAGCTTGTAATCCCAGCACTTTGGGAGGCCAAGGCGGGTGGATCACCAGGTCAAAAGATCGAAACCATCCTGGTCAACATGGTGAAACCCCATCTCTACTAAAAATACAAAAAAATTAGCTGGGCATGGTGGCGCATGCCTGTAATCCCAGTTACTCAGGAGGCTGAGGCCGGAGAATTTGCCTGAACCCAGGAGGCGGAGGCTGCGATGAGCCGAGATCGCTCCACTCCACTCCTGCCTAAAATAAAAAAACCACCCTCCAAAAAAAAAAAAAAAAAAATGCCTTTAGAGAAGCTACATAATGCAGAGGAAAACTGGAAACCTGGGGGCATAGCTTTTGAAGGGAGAAATCTCTCCCCATCTTCCCTTGTGGGAAAATATTAAAAATGGGACTCAAGGTCTATGTGACACTATATGAAAGGCCATTTCATATACACGTACACCTCTGTAAGCAACCGATGTTGAAGAGGGCAATGCAAAGAAGCTTAGGAGTAAGCAGTCTCTCATATTTAAAGTTGAGTTGAGACAGAAGTTACTTTATATAACTTTTAGGGTTTCTTGTTCCTTCTAGTAGGTGGATGGTATTCTTCCTCAAGAGAAGCTGATTAAGTTGGATTCTGTCTATTCCTGGCTTCAGACCTAATCATGACCATTAAAAATATATATCTTTTCCTTTGTCCAAAAATCCCACTCTAGTCTTGCATTGTAGTTGCTAGTGTGTAGTTGGGGGTGTGTTGTATGTTTTCAATAAGCCGTATTTTAGGGAAATAGCAAAAATAGCATATGTACTTTCAATTAAATTTGTATTGTTTTTGAACATATTGACAACAAATGTTTGTTGTTTGTCAGCAGTGGGCTATATGCTATATAAAATGGAATCAGGCATGGGTTTCATATCTAAACAAGCAAGGTATAAATCAGCAAAGGATAACTAATGACAATGATAGAGTAACATTTGCCATAGGCCAGGTACTGTGCTAAGGACTTTCTATGCATTATCCAGCTGAATTCTCAGAACCATGTGAGCTAAGTATTATCATACCCAGAGAGATTATGAAGCTTGCCCCATATCACACAGCTAGTAAATGGTAGAACCCAGGATCTAAGTTCAGGTCTGATTCCAAAGCCCTTGTCCTAAACACTGTGCAAATTGCTCTTACACAAATTTAGTGCTGAGCATCAGAAGTCTCAGTCTTTCCCATGGAGCAAAGCAGCAGGAAAACCCCCTGAAGTGTCTGTTAGAATTCACTTTTAGAAACCAGATCGTGGTAAGACTCTGTTTATAATTTGTAATAGTATTTCATATGTTATTTTAAGAGTAGAGTTTTCAAGTCTCCTGATTGCCTCAGAGGAAAATATACCTATAGTCTTCTGCCCAAGTTGTGATGATTGTAATCATTGTTTTGGGAAATGTTTTCATTCTCTCCTTTTTGCTGAAAATATTTAGAAAGCCACAACAATTCCATAAGATGGCATGATTAGCAAAGCCCTGAGTTTGGTTGCTATGTATCCCTTTGGCGATTTGGCTTTAAGACTCATAATTAAAAGGAAGAGGATTATTAGCAAAATCAGTTAGGAGCTTGTTCTTTTGACATTGGGGAGTGAAAATATTTTCTTCCCCATCTACTGTTTCACCAGAAGTGGAAATTATGCTGGGTATCTTTTGAAGTACATCTGTAGTTCAGTTTTATGTTCTGTAGGGTATCATTTCATTAGTTCTGTACAATAAAACCATCATCTCAGTACAAGTACAGAACCAGTGAATTGAGAAAAAGTAGTCTAAATATTTTAGTCAATGCCTCATCATTGAATTTGAGAGTTTCTAGAGACATACAGTACCTTTATGTCTTGATTTCCCCCATGTATATGGTGACATGCTTTACATGGTAGGTATTAAGAAAGAAATTTTTTCTCATTACTATTAATCATGATATTGGAGTCCCAGTCATTTTCACCAAGCCATCATTTAAGAATCACAAAAATATTAGAGCTGACATATTTAGATCTCTCAGAAGTTCCACATTTTTTTTTTTTTTACAAAGATAGACAAATATATTATTCAGTTCATTGGTAGGTAAAGCACATAGTATTTTTCAGAGCAATGCCAGTATCTTATTGGCCTTGATTTAAATAATGACTATATTTTTCTTACTAAGATTTTCACACAAATTCTTTGCAGTTAAATCAAACTTAGGGCCGGGCGTGGTGGCTCACGCCTGTAATCCAAGCACTTTGGAGGCCAAGGTGGGCGGATCACCTGAGGTCAGGAGTTCAAGACCAGCCTGACCAACTTGGTGAAACCCCCTCTTTAAAAAAAAAAGAAAAAAGATAAAGATAAAAAATAAAAAAATTTAAAAAATCAAACTTAGGAAGGACTAAAATAGGTACAAATGATCAGGTACCAAAGTGTATCCTGATATAGAAAATTGTGATTTAGTGTTCTATTGTTAGAACCAACTGTCTGGAGCCTGTGACATATACTAATTTATTAACTTGTATATCCTCATTCTGAAGGAAATAATAGCAGTTGCTTCTATTTATTGAATATTTACTATGTGCCAGATACTTTAAGTACCTTACATTGATTATCTCATTTAATTCTCATAAAAATTATATAAGATAGATATTATTTGACCTATAAACAAATGAAGCTCAAAAGTACACAGGGTCAGAATCAAAATTTGAACCCAGTTTTACTGAACTCCAAAGCTCTTACCCTATATTATAAAAGAGAAATGGCCGGGCATGGTGGCTCATACCTGTAAGCTCAGCACTCTGGTAGGCCAAGGCGGGTGGATCACTTGAGGTCAGGAGTTTAAGACCAGCCTGGCCAACATGATGAAATCCCATGTCTACTAAAAATACGAAATTAGCCAGGTATGATGGCATAGGCCTTAGTTCCAGCTACTTGGGAGGCTGAGGCAGGAGAATCACTTGAACCCAGGAGGTGGAGGTTGCAGTGAGCCAAGATTGTGCCATTACACTCCAGCCTGGGCAACAGAGTGAGACCCTGTCTCAAAAAAAGAGAGAGACAGACAGAGAGAGAAATGAACACAAGTCCTTATTTATACTCATATAGTTTCCAGCCATTTTAATTGAAGACATAGGTGATTCTCACCGGTTGATGGAAAGTAGCAATAAAAAAGAATATGAGAGAGAAGATTAGCAAATACTGAGTGGAATCCTGCAATATCTGATTATTACTGTAAAGTGACTGGAGGCTCACAAGCCCAGTGGGCACGCAGACCTTAAAAGGTTGTCTTTGCTATTCGAGTACTTCATTTCTTTACCTGACCTTGCTGTCCTGCTCCCTCTCAGCCCTCAATTAAGCTGCCATTGATACAGGATTTATAATGTGTCACTGGTCCATTCAGGATACAGTGACAGAGGTGTGACTGAAAAGCTGGATAATAAAGAATGGAGGTGATTTCCATTTCTGTTCAAATCAGGGTGGCAACAACCATAGCTGACCCTTGGTTCAGACCAGCACAGCCCAGCTAGACAAATATTTCAAGCACTGAATTGTGTACTAAATGCCCAGTGCCCTTTTCAGAAGGGACACTGCCTCTGAGTGACCAAGATGCTCATAGTTTCTTCCCATGATGAGAACATCTAAACCTTGGAAAATGATTGTGGTATTCGTTATGTTACAATTTTCCAGAAAAGAATCTGTATTTATTTTTCCTCTAGGCTTCTAAACAATAAGGTAGATTTTACAAATGAGGATTTTTTAGGAATAGTTTCTTGACTATACCCAATTTGAAAATATTGTGTGGCATTGGATCACATTAATTAGGTTATTTTAAAGTCCTTTCCATTTAAAATAAAAGGAATTTTAAATGTTATGAACTTTTTTTTTGTATAGGTAGGATTATGTTAATTTGTGCCTTAAATACATAGTGAGACTTTGAAATTCTTTTGTTAGAATTCAACTATTTAAAAGAGGAGTGTTATTTCTTTAGAGTCAAACTCATTCTTATTTCACAAATTTGGAAATAAAACCCTGACTTTCTTTTTTTTTTTTTTTTTTTTGAGACGGAGTTTCGCTCTTGTTGCCCAGGCTGGAATGCAATGGTGCGATCCTGTCTCACCGCAACCTCCACCTCCTGGGTTCAAGCGATTCTCCTGCCTCAGCCTTTCAAGTAGCTGGGATTACAGGCATGTACCACCACACTCAGCTAATTTTGTATTTTTAGTAGAGACGAGGTTTCTCCATGTTGGTCAGGCTGGTCTCGAACTCCCCACCTCAGGTGATCTGCCCACCTCAGCCTCCCTAAGTGCTAGGATTACAGGCATGAGCCACCGGACCTGGCAGATATAATTTTAAAAATTAAAGTCTGATAAAATGTGTACATGTGAATTTAATTGTGGTTAGCTGTCTATTATTTAACTGATATGATAACACGCCTCAGTCCCAACTTACACAGCATTTAGAATGAATTGATAGAGGCCTTACTCTGAAAAGTCATTCTATTTCCTCAGTTTTCTGGGTTTTGAATAACTGCTAGGCCTTGCCAGGTATTCTGGCCTAAAGATAAAGCTGGTGAAAGTCAGAGCTGGGGTTTTCCTACCTCTGTGTTTATCAGTCTTCTCCTAAACCACAGTCTACCTTTTGATAGTTCTAATAATTAATTTGGTCTTTTCTGTCTTTATTCTCCCTTACCCCTCCCTTCTCCTTGTCTGTTCACAGGTTATCTTGACGAATCAGATTACAACCCATCTGAGTGGAGCCCTGGCTTCTCAGGCAGACCTGGTGTCTCCAGCTGATGATTTGTCCCTGTCTGAAGGTAAGGAATCCGTCCTAGAGAGGCTGAAACTTGACACTGACATACAGCCCCACTGCTTCTCCACCTCCTGTTGAGAGCTGGGAGATATGGCTAATAGGCCCTGGCCAGTGAACCCAACCAGAGCCTGTTGATTTAGGTTTGGCCACCTTTCCTGGCATCTGATCTTATACTTGGGGAGTCTCTTGCCCTGCCTCTATAAATGAGATCCAGTTGGAGGCCGATCACTCCTCTGTGGGCTATTTCAGGTCCTCAGAATAAGGGCTGATGAATTGTTAAATGATTTTGTTTTTGAGACTGATGCTCAAAGGTTGGCTTTACCAGTGATCCCATAGCAATTTAGCCTTTTCTTTGTGCTGAGCTCCTTTGGACTAAAAAGTGTACATCAGTTTCATGTGCCAGAGATATGACATTCCTGATCAGCTTTACAGAAGATTAAGAAAAAAATCTCCACGTTGGTAAATCTGCAAAATTTTCTCCACCCCCTGCTAGCAAAGGTCAGGCTGTCTATGGTTTCGATGGCAATAAGCTTTATGTAGCTGGGGAAATAACATCTGTAAACCAGAGGGTGGTTTCTAGCTTTTTTGAAAGTGCTTACTTGACATTTCTGAGTTGTTCTGCTTATACTCTAGTATCTTTCATGCAGAATTCTGCAGGCCTGGATAGATGGGCATAGCTCTTCCAGACCCCTCCTCCCTTTCCACTTTCTGAGAATTGTTCATGATGGAATACAGGAGACTTTTAGGCCTAGCAAGGCTCCTGACTGACTGCCCAGGTAGTCTTCTGCCCATCAACTTTGCTTGATGGTCTTAGAAATTGCAAGAACCACACCTCTGCCTCTTAGTGGTGACTTTAGGAGTGAAAACTGATGGCTTATTTATGAAGACTATACAACATGTTGTGTACCCTCCTTCTAAATTCAAGGATACGTCATCATAACCCCCATCAACGGGGCTGAAAACCTGAATCATCAAGTATTCCTCCTTCCCGAAACTTTTGTCATCAAATCTGCTTAGTCCTTCTTTCCATGTATATCTTTCCTTGGTCCCCTCTTTTTTGTAATGTGTGTTGTGATCAGCTGGTTTACTAAACTCCCAACTGGATTATTTTAATAACATCCAGATTGACCTTCCCAATGTAGCCTCTACCATTTCCATTCTGCCACGACCAAATTGAACTTCCCCATCTGGCATCGTTCTACTATGTTGCTCTCCTACTCAGAAATCTTTGAATTTTTTTTTTCCCTGAGAATGAGCTAAAATCAGTAAGCTGTTTTTAAAATATTTAGGGATTTGGGGTTTGTTAGCTTGAAATCACCCATGGTAAAAGTATTTATACCATGGAAATCAGCAAATGCTAAAAATCAGGTGTTTTTGTTTGGTTTTGTTTTTTTCTCCTTTGGGTAGACTGGTTTCCAAAACACCACTAGATAAAGTTAATGCTTTTAACCCTTCATAATCTGTCATTTCCTTTCTATTCAGATTTAGTTCCTGCCAATATCTTAGGTGAAGCTCCTATGCCAAGCGTGCTGCTCTTTGCCTGCCCCTCCCCACTCCCAGGTCCATGCCTGTGCATAGACAGCTCTCCCTCTCCAGAACAGCACTTCCCTTTTTCACTTCCACTGCCTCTTCTCATCCCACATCCACTCCTTCGAGGCTTATTTAAAGACTGCCTCTTTCACGGAACCTCCTTGCCTGTGGTCTCACTCTCTGTTTTTCCTCTGTGGCCGCTCTATCTGCTCAACTATATAAAGAAAAGAAAATTAATTTAACTTTTCATGTTTTTCTGCCTAATTGGCAGATTTTAAAGATACAACCATGTCATATTATTTTGTATCCATGTTGTTATCCAGTGACTAGCAAAATTCTAAGCACATACTAGGCAGTAAATAAATACCAAATGAATATCACAGTAAATACCTGGGAAGAACAGTGATCATGAGAATCATATAAAGTACCTATGAACATTGTTAAAAATTGTTATAATTATTACACACACACACACACACACACACACACACACACACACACACACACATTTATTCAGCTCTGAGGAGGAGACCAGAATAAACTTCTTCCTTACTTGAAAACCAGTAAGTACTTTTCTTTGTGTTGCCTTCCTGGTTTATCTTAAGCAAAGAAGAAGAGCAAATCACATAGAAAAGAAATTACTTTGAGGCTGCAGTATAACTGCCACGAGAAACTCCTGACATTGCGTTCACAGCAAAGGAGGAGTTACCAGCTTATTCTCCCAGAAATCCAAGGAGGAATGGAAACAATTGGTTTTTCTAGATTTTTTCTTTTTTGTATAGCTGAGCAGATAAAGAGGCTATGGAAATATGTTCCTAATGTCTATAATGAAGGTTTTTATTAGTGGATTAAAATGGACAATGTCTTAGAACATTTATACCCATTCAAATATATTACAACGGTTGTTAAGTTCCTATGATTTACACACACACACGTGCACACACACACACACGTGCACACACATATATAAATTGCTCTGTTTTGTTTCAAGCATTCATTGTATCAGCTTTGCCACTGAGTTATTAACTGTGGTGTTGGGCAGGCCTTTTGATCACTTGGGTCTCAGTTTCTTCTTCTGTTACATGACAGGTTGGACGAATAGAAGACTGCTAAATTTTTTTCCAGCTCTAACATATAAGATCATGAGGCAGGTCTGAAGGTCAGGAGCATTCACCCACTGATGGGGTTTTAATTCTGATTTACAGAGTAGGAGGATTGGCCGTGTTGCTGATGTTGCCCTAGATTAACACAATCAAAAGGATCTTTCCGAAATCTTAGCGCTGATACTTTGGCATACCATGTAGCAGCCTTCCCTCCATGTGTGTTTTCTTTCTCACTCTGTGTACGCTTCTGGTCTTATCTGTCTGTCTCTTGTTCTGTCTGCCTCCCTCCACACAAAGGCATACAAAATCAGAAGTGTGTGCAAACCAGTGAGAATGAGAAACACATTGGGATGGGGTGACTTTGTAACTCTGGTCAATTTGCATAAGTCCCGAAAGTTCCATTCTCCCAGTAATTTGTGAATGGAATAGTTTGTGAAAGGCAGGCTGCAGACTGACAAGCACACTGCACATATGAGGAAGTATTTTAAGTAAATAGAGAAAATTCAGTGTGTCCTCTCATTCCTTCTCAAGGCACAAAGCTCAGGGCAGGAGCAGTGCCAGGAAAGTCCTTGGCCTTTGGGGTGTACTTCTCCCTTCTTCAACTCTCTCACCTGGGAGCTGGATAACTCAACAGTGGAATGAAACCTCAATGAAGGGAATTATATCATGATGTCAAGCAGTGAACATGAGTCTACTTAATCCAAGCCAACAACTCAGCCACACATTTAATAAGGGTGGGGGCAGGGAGACCCAGCAACACAAAAAACAAAGAACTCTCAACTTTACAAACACTGGGAGGGCAACAGCTGGTCAGCCGAGATTAAAGGAGCGTGAGAGAGCACCTCCCATCTCCTGACTTCTCCTCCCCCATAGACGTCCCTGCAGCCAGCCAGGGCTCGCTTTTTACAGCCCTGTGCGGATGACCTTGTTCCAGCTAAGATAGGGGCTCTTTTGATCTCAGCAGGGGGATGCTCTGGGCCTGCAGCTGGCAGATATTAATAGTACAGGATCTGTTGGGGTGGAAGAGATCTCTCAGTTGGGCCAGGTCACTTGCATTCCCTCCTCTGCATCAGAGCAGAAGGGACTTCATTTCCCTGGATCAGCCCCTGCTGTGTACTACTCCTCTTAGGTCAACTCAGATCATTTTATCACTGGCGCTCTTGGCTGCTTGTTCTCACCCCACAACTGTTTTCAAGGGAGCACTGTTTAGGCAGTACACTGTGCACTGCAGCTGAAATCTATTACAGGACAAGGTAGACCTCGGGCCCACCCCATCCCAGTGTGTTTCTCGTGCTCACTGGTTTGCACACACTTCTGATTTTGTATACCTTTGTGTGGAGAGAAGCAGAGAGAGCAAGAGGCAAGATGTGAAGTGTATATAGAGTGAGAAAGAGACAGCAATACAGGAAGGCGAGACTGTTGCAGGTATGCCAAAGTACCAATGAGAAGATTTCTGAAGGTCCTTTTTATTGTGTTTAATCTAGGGTAACATCAGCAACACACTTATTCTTCCCACTTTGTAAATCAGAATTAAACCCTGTCATTGGGTGAATGTTCCTGATCTTCAGACCCACCTTATGATCTTAATTGTTAGAGCTGGAAAAGACTGTAGCAATCTTCTAGTCATCCAATCTGTCATTTAACAGGAGAGATGTGGATAGAAATAAGGATTTTTTTGGTTGTATATTCTATATTGTTCTACACTAGGCACTTTGAGTCACAGTATTTTCTTCTTCACATTTCATTTTGTTGACAGAAATTCAGACATATAGTTTATTGTAGAGTTCTGTGCTTAGTTATTGACACTGTTCTGTGGCCAAGGACATGTTTCTTAGTCCTTGCCAATTCTTCCTTATGGTCATTGGAGATACTAAGGATTTCTGGACCTCAGTCATAGGGAATATCTCTTTTCCCCATAGTGATTAATACAGAAGGGATCTAACAGTCCAAATGGCCTAAGATGCCATATCCTATTCTGAAGTCACCTGGGATTTGAGCAGAACTGGCTGAGTGCCCACCTACTGTGACACCGTTGGTAGGTGAGATTTAAAGGATGGTAACAGTGAGCCCTGTGCAAGACTGAAGCTGTAGACCATTGGCTTGCTTTCTTCTGATGATTTAACAGAGTAGCAGTTACTTCACTATGGTGACGTGGCCCACTTCGGAGTTCCACATGGCTTTATGGAAAAGAAGACATTTAGGCTGCCATCTTGGTATTCTCAGCATCTGGCATGTTGTATCCTTTTAACTGCCATTACTTGTTTTTGATAGATGATAGCACATGAAAACTAAAAATGTAAAATGTGTGGATAGGTCAAGGAAAGAACACAAGAGAAATAGCAGTACTTCCTAGAACCAAGAGTGATTTCTA